GTAAAAGTCCATTCACGAGTAAATGAGGTGCAAGTCTTTAGAAGAGTAATTCTCCTTCCTCCCTAAGGTGACCACAGGAGAGCCTCAAGACCCAAACGAAATGTAGGAAGCACTGAGGTCTTTGACTTTGGCCTTGGGGCTCTGTGCCTGTACTTATACTGCTCCCTAGCTTAAAGAAAATTAACATCAAGTAGCTGACATTACTGAGACTTTACCGTGTGCCAGGCATTGTTCTATATTCAGTCTTTACAACAACCTATGAGGGAGGCAGCATTATTATCCCATTTTCACAGGTGAGGAAACTGAGGCTTGGTGGGGTTATGTACTTTCCCAAGATCACGGAGAGTAAACTCCAGATTCTGCACTCTTAGCCCCGATGATGTGCTGCATCCCAGTGTCCTGCCTTGTGCTTCTCTTCATTAGTATTGGACAGGCCACGTGGCCTTCCTTCAACCAGGTAGCAGTATCACCAGAGATCTAGACGACATTTAAAATCCACCCAAGTGGTCAAACTAGAGATTGCGATATGTGGTTGTGCTACAACGTGTGGGCACTTGAGTGGATCTCAAATGCTACCAGCATTCACCTTGATGTTGCCAGTTGTCTGGAGGACTAGATTGATGTTATCTTCTTAAGTGGAGGGGTGCTTGGTAAAGACCTTAATAATTCTGAAGCAGGAAAAATCTACAATTTGAAATATTTTCTGACTTCTCGAGTGGAGGTGTGAGTTCTGGGAGGGCCCACTGAGTTGGGCTTTTTTTGAAGAAGCAGAAGTAAGTCAAGTTCTCGAGGAGAGACTTGATCATTCTGGGCCCAATGGGATCAATCAGGTCTGGATTTGCAGGTACTTTCAGATTCCTAGTGGAGAAAGGAAATGGGTTGTTGTCTGTGGTGGCCTACCTGGAGCCAGCTGGTGAGGCTCCAGCTTGTGAAGGGCTCCGGAGGTTATGTTTGGGCCTACGGGATCACAAGAAGTCATTGCCAGGGGCTATCGAGGGCCTGTCCCATGCTTTGGAGGGGGAGGCCAATAGTAAGGGTTGTTTCCTCTCTAGGACCAGAGTGTGCAAGGTGGGTATATCAGTTGGAGTCACCAGCAGGTGGCAGCTGACCTCACTGAGTGTTGGTCTCAAAGGGGCTGCTAGAGCAGAGGTCATGGCAGATGAGAAAGTCAGCGTGAAAAGCTCAAGAGTTGTTGCAGAGTGCACAGTACACTAGAAACCTCCCCTGATAATATCCTAAAAAAGCAGAAGATGGGGGTGGGAGAGAGAATGTCACATTGAAGGGGGTTAATTTCCAGCTCTTAGATACTCATGATATAATGATCTGGGTATAAAAAGGAAAAGTATTATTAGTCAAAGTCATGGTCTGCTGAGCCCTGCAAAGTATGAGTTAAAATTAAAATGCAAATTAGATAAACACATTTATCCAAGTGGGTCTTAGATCAAGCTGATGGCTTTGTGATTTGTCTTGAAGTGAATTGACTTAAGAACCCTGACATGTCTTGCTCTTATACTTCAAAAGTATCTCAAGGAGCTTTGAGCCTCTTCTGAATTTATAAGTCTTCAGTTTTTAAAATGGCAGCAGCAGCCTGAAAATGCCCACAGAATGGGGTCTGTTTTCTTTCCTTCTTTGAATCACTGTGGTTTATTTCAATCAGAATGGCTGTGGATTGCGGCTGCCATATTGGGCAGCATAAACATAGAACATTTTTATCATCACGGAAAGTTCTATTGGATAGAGCTGCTCTAGATAACTCTAGAAAGTATTAGCCAAACATAAGACTCAAACTCAACAGGTAACACGTGGGTTGTTTTAAAATTAAATACCACTTCATAATTTTATTTGCACTTACCACACACTTTTTTTTTTGAAAAATAATACATGCTACATTAGTCATGAAGTTAACAAAATATAAGCATCCACACAGAATATATTCTAAGGTGACTTCATTTACATAGCTTCTCAGAGAAACATACAGTAAATTCTTTTTGCCCATCAGCCAGTGTTGGACCAGATTTATAATTCACAAGGCTGCAGGGCGGAGGTTTCCCCTGGTGGACAACTTGTATCCACACAGCATCATCAGCTGGCTGGTTTCCACCAGCAAAGTAATGGAGGTGTCAGTCCTCCCTTCCCTACCCACCATTCAATTCCACGCTGAAAAACCTCCACATGATCTGAATCTAAATGTGATGGCATCATTACACCTGCAGCTTCACAGAAGGGGTGGGTGGAAGGGGCTGCTGAGCTCTCGTCAAAACTCACAGGCATCAGTCTACAAAGAACTGGTTCTAATGTCTGATGAGGGAACCCAGAAGCCCAGACAAGGGGGTGGGGTGGGGAGAGGAAGACCATAGAACAACTGAAAAATTCAAACCTAAGTTTAACTTCCTGTCTGCTGGGAAGAAGGTGGAGGTGTGATATTTGATGTTGCTTGAAACATTCAAGAAGGCTTGGGGATGTCACAGCCATGAGGAAAAATAAAATCAGAGCTGAGTGGAAAGTTGATGTCCTCCTCCTCTGAACAACAGCAAACTGAATTTTAATCCCTCTTTTGTGTTCTGTTCTTGCAGGCTTGCATCCTGACTGTAAAAAGTGACATTTATTACCCCTTCAGATCCTTCCTCCACACTGCTTAAGGCCCTCATTCCAATCAGTGCTGACCCTGCCGTTCTCTTCCCGGTGAATCATCGATGGCTCCCATGCCCTCGAAGATACACTTTAAACTCCTTCGCCAGGCATTCAGGGCCCTCTGTGATTTGGTTTCCACCCCCTTCTCTGGCTCTCCTTTCCTTGCCACCTCCCTCTCCCTATGTCTGTGCCTTTGCAAATGCTGGCCCCTCTGCCTGGGGGGTGAGCACCCTACTCTCCATGCTTTGCCCAAATCTTAGCTAGATTTGCCACCCAGCAATGAATAGTATCAAAAACATGTCCATTTTGAATACCCATTCTGGGCCCAGGGCCTGACCTTTAGCAGGGGCTCTGTAACTGTCACTTTCTATGGTTTGCTACTGCACTCAGCCTGTCCTGCCAGTTTCTTGAGTATTTTTGTGTCTCCCACTGCTGGCCTGGAGGGCAGGAACCATTCTTATTCTTTCTGCCCTCACCATCCGAATGCTTAACAAATATCGAATGCCTCATAAATATTGTTGAATTGGGTGATATCAGTCCTAAAGGGAAAAAGGTCATTCATTGCTGCCCTCTTAGGCATGTAAAACACAACACAGAAGTGGTTAAGACACAATACAGAGTGGTTACCACAGGCAACAGTCAGTTTTTGCAGTCAAGGTACTAAATCAGAATTAAGCACAATCCATAAAGGTTAATGATCTATCAACACTGGTCTATTAACACTGTTATCTTGCCTATTATTTAAAGGCCAAAGAGGGAAGCAGAAAGTGTAGCTCTAAGTAGTAATCAATGAGTGGAGAAATGCTGGATCCTAGGGAGATTCTTTGACCTGCTCAGTGAACCCCAGGGAGGAAACAAGGAATGCTCATTCCAATTTTCCAGTAGGAGTGTATCAGTCCCCAGGGGTTTTAGCAGACCATCTCTCAGTTAGTAGGCTTTCAGGATGTGTTGTCCTTGGATTACTTGCATCGGAATCACCTGTGCTGTCAGTTATGACTGCAGACTCTTGGGACCCACCCCAGTCCCTCTTAATCAGAGTATTTGTGGTGGGGGTATGGGAAATCTGCATTTTAAACAAACACTATAGGGGAGCCTTATGCTCATTAAAGTTTGCAAACCTTTACCTGCCATTCTCAAAAGTATACAAAGTGGACAGGTAGTCTAGGGGAAGGCTATTTGCAGCCAGAAAGGAGGTGGCAGTCCCGTTTCTGAGAATGCTGTGTCTCCTAGATGTATGTGCATGGGATGACGACCCAAAGTGTCTCTATCACTCCGAGAAAATTAACCAATAATTCAAGCTTGGTTTGTCGATCTACAAAGGAGAGGATGGAGGGGAGGTGAGTGAGGCTGTCTCTGAAATGAATACCCCCAATCTTCCCAGAGGGCACTGGTGTGCAGAATACATGTGAAACAGCCAGATTTTGTCTATCCTTTTATAAGTGATGAATCACCTTTTTAAAGATGGAAATGGGTCTACGGCCATGCTACCCAGAACAAGCCCGATCCCAACTGATCTCGGAAGCTTTGCAGGGTCGGGCCTGCTTAATACTTGGATGGGAGATTACCTAGGAAGACCAGGTGCTATAAGCGTAAAAAATTAAAAAATAAGAGATTGTAAGCTGACAATCTGTGAGGTCAACCAAGGGTTGCCTCTCCTAAAAAAAAAAAAAAAAGATGGAAAGGGATTCTTCCTCCTTTATGGGCTGAAGTATCATCACTCTGCTCTTGTCTTTATCCTCCCCCTTCTCTTAACTTCCCAGTTCCATTGGTAGGGAGAAAAGCAATCAAGTAGTTCACAGAACCAAAAACAAGTTTTCGGAGCAGATCCAATATAAACACATGGAGCACGTTTTCACAGGAAGAGCACAGACAGTGCGAAGGCAGAAGTGCATTTCCTATAAGCTAGTGGTGATAGAACGTTCCGCCCCGGGCTGGACCACTAGGCCAGGTGAAGGCGACACAAGCATTATTGTAAATAGAGAACCACGAGTGAGATGGGTAGAGATCAGGCCTGCACGTGAGGCGGGGGGAAGCCTAGACTTACCAGGTCTCCAGTCTTTTACCGGATTTGGAAAGAAAGAGCAGAATCTCTGCCTTCCTTTAGCTTTGAAGAGCGTGGGCCACCTTTAGTCATTGAATGAGGAAGCCCAGTTACCATCCTCAAGGATGAGAAAGGCTTTCCCAGTCTGGCTGGGCTAACCTAGGCAGAGGCTGAATTCCCTAACGCCTGCCTAGAATCCTGCTTTCACCACCCCGCCCCCTACCCTCAACATCTGAAATTTCTGAGACCAAGATAACAGATGATTTTCCAGAGACTAAGCCTTTTCAAGATCCCCATCCAAAGAGTTCTCGGTTTAAAAAAACAAGACTTGAAAGGTAAGTTTTAGAATTAAGGGTTGAACCACTGTCAGCACGGCTTGAGCAGTTATATTTGGAGGGAAGGTGAGTGTGGCCTTCAAGGTGGGCTCATTCCTTCTTGGTGTGTTCCAGGACACGGTAGGGAACCCCAGAGGCACTTCTGGAGCTGTGTTCTTCTTGCATGACGGGCAACGTGGCAGGAGCGTAGATCTCAGAAATGTTGTCGTTGTTTTCCAGGGCCCCATAGGAAAAAGAAGCTTTGAGGTCAGGCTGGACTGCCATCCCTTTGTCATGCATGTTCTGCATACCTGAAATGAAATCCATTTTCCCCAAATCATTATGTGGTGAGGGGGCCAGAGGAGGCTGCACCTTCCTCTATCCTGCCACAGACTAATTATCCTGCTCGAGAGCTAATCATGTGCATTGTCAATTTCCTGAATGCTTTAGATTGAAAAAAGGACAGCCATAAATATATCCTAGAAACATTACGGTTGCTAAGCAACAAGGGGTGAATCTTTGGTAAATATGCACACAGACCAGCCACTGTCAAGAGAAACCATGGGTTGGCCTAGAATGAGGTGGGGATGTCTGTTTGGGCCACAGGGGGTGTGGAACCAGTGCTGTGCTTTGAACATGGTCGATGCTGTTACTTTTCTGGGAGTTAAATCAGGATCCAGAATACTGTTGAGAGAAGAGGGTAACTTTTGTGTCATGGACACGTGATGGTGACAGATGTATCACGCTGCTCAGAGGGAGAGCTTTGACTTAAACATTAACAACCCTGATCTACATACAGGGTAAGGTGTGATTTCGCTCACTACTTCCGGGTACATTGATGTTGGATTTCTATTTAAATATGAGAGGAAAGACTTTAGTCATTCATTCTTTTAACCTTATTCTCCAACTCCCCTAGACAGCTGGGACCTGGTCTTCTCTGAGGCCAACTCTCTGGTAGGGAATTAAGACTCTTCAGATTCTCTTGGCCCCAGGCTGAGTCATAAGAAATTGAATGCAAAGTGTCTTCCGTGAAACTACTAGGATAATAACAGCTGACATGTGACTGCTTAATATGCCCTAGGCACTGGGCTAAGTGCTTTAAATAATAAGAGTAACAACAGCAGCAGTAATGGTAATAGCTAATGTGTACTGAATGTTTAGTTGGTGGCAGACACGGCTCTAAACAGTTATAAAGTTTTATCTCATTTGATCCTCACAACTACTGATAAGGAAAATGAGGCAGTCGGAGGTCACAACGCTAGTAAGTGGCAGTGCCAGGACTCCAACTCAGGTGGTTTAAACTCCGAAGCCCAAGCTCTTTACCAGACTGCCATGTGGACCTCCCTAAAACTCTGTGACAGAGATATGCTACTATCTTAATTTTCTGGATAAGAAACAGAGAGGTGAAATAACTTGGCCAAGGTCACAGTGAATGACAGACAGAGCTGGGATCTGACGCCAAACCCCACACTCTTATTCACTCTGCAAACGAGTTGGAAAGACCTAGTTTGTGGAAGGCCCTTTGCTCCCACGTTGCACAAGCCTTAGCCGGTGGTCATTTGAAGAGTCTGTGGTTTGGATTTCGGGGGTTGCATCGGGGGGAATAGGGGATGCCTATTCATTCTTCAGGGAAGAGAGTTGGCTTACCAGGCAGTTTAGCTTTCGGATTCTGTCAATGCTCTCTAGCCAAAAATCATTAGGAACACACCCATAATACACCTATAGTCTAACAAATTTGGGGTTATTGACTCATTGCAATGAGGGAGATGGACACCATGGGGGTACCGTGGGGTATTTCAGTAAGAAGGTATGAGAAAGGACTTATTATTTGGGTTTGTGTTAGGTGATTTTGGGGAAGGTTTAAGGAAGAAGGGCTTGGCTTTTTGGGTTAGATGCTGTCAGGAAGTAGGGATAATTCGATAGTTAGAGATCTTAACAATTCTTATCTAGTAGGAGAGGAGACCAGATTAAGGCTTAAAGCGTGATTGGTCAAGAGGAGCAGTCACTCGTGTTAGGGAGATGGTTGATCCTTCTCATGTGTGGACAATGGTCATGTGTTGTGTGTGTTCAGACATAGCAGTGGAGTGGTTCTGTTTGCATCTTGATCCATCAGGGTCACCGAGTAGCTTTGTCTGGTGTGGATGTCCTATGAAATTGTTTATGTTCAGTCAGGGAACACCAAGGCCCAGCTCCCAGCTTTCAAGAACTGCTTTTCTCTTTCTCCTTTTTAAAGAAGTCTTTCAGGTGCTAGAATTATTCAAAGCCTCTCCAAGTTGTGACATGTATTAAATTTTTGGAATCTGAATGCCTCTTGAACAGTAGCTACTGGTCGGTTGTAAAGATATCAGTCTACGTAGACCAAAGGCAAGGTCCTGATGCCAACCAGGACACCAAATAGCTAAAAAAGCCACTCTGTTTAAGTGGTTTTATTCTTCATGTTCTACCTGGCATCAGATCAAACAAGTGTTTGAAATTTTCAAAGTTTTTCTAAAACAAAAGGGAAGTGAAACCAAATTTAACCAGGCATCTACCACGTCCCAGACACAGCACAAGGGGCCTTTCACATGTTATCTCCCTACCTTGAAAGGAGTCTAATTTTATAAGTGAGGTGTCAGAGGCCTTGGGAGATCCAGGCCCGAGGTCACAGAGTGGGTAGGGGGCATAGCTGGGATTTGAATCCAGGTCATCTGAACTCCAAGCCCGTGTTCTTCATTGCACAGAACACATGCCTACTCAGAAGTGTCCTGACCTGCCACAGCAATAGGGCAGGGTCTCCTTTCTTCAACATTTGACTTCCCACCGATCATGAGGTACAAATAGGAAGTGAGAGCCATATTCACAAACAGATCCAGAATGTTAATATCTAGGATTACCTTAGGTTACCTTCTATTTTCTACCAGAAAATACATCTGTATATATGCATATACCAACACTTATATATACACATACACAATTTATCAACACACAAACACACAGGTACATACACATACTTGCACACACACAGAGTTGACACCTCACCTATCTGGAATTCAGCTATCCAGCGCCCTCATCTATCCGGAACACAGCCGAGGACAAGGAAGTAAGCAAAAAAGGCATCTGAGCAGCCAGGTTAGATGTTTAAAAAGTCCATGCACTAAAGCTCATGCACTTAACTCCTAGGAGAAATCTTAAGGCCCCAGCTTAGAGCTTATTTAATTTTACACACAAATTAGAACGAGTTGGGTCAAATGAGAAGACTGACATGGAGTTGCTATGCTGGTAACAGCAGGAGTTGCAGGCAGGCAATGGCAAGAATGACAGACAAGAGCTAAACAGCAAGACATGAGGGAATAATATAAAAGGAGACACATCAACCCTGGGGTCATTTGAGGTAGGGACACATCAGTCAGCCCTGAAAACACACCTACATCACAGAGTTCCTTATTAAGCAGCACCCTATGCCATCGATATGATTCTATTTGGTTCATTAGACTCTTAATGAAGGTGGGGCGGGGGGAGATTATATTTTGGAGAGTTCCATCTTATAGATCTAAAATAAAAATTGTGAGTTAAAGAGTGAAAGCTAGTGATCACTGGCAACCCAGAGAATTTAGGTCAGCAAACCTAGAGTCTTAACTTTTCTAATCTGGATCCCTTGAGGCTGGCCAAGCTCGCGCCAGCTCTGTGCTGATTCACACCTTCATGCTACTGTCATGTCTTAAGGGCGTCTGAGATTGTGTTTTTTAGTGTGAACTCTTAGCTCCCTGGGAAATTAGGCTTTCCAGAACAATTTACACTCTAGTATTTCAATTTCATTCATCCTATTTTCCTTCTCTTCTGTGATCATTCCATTCCAACTAGATAAGTGGGATTTTCCTTTTGCAGGCCTGAAGCCTGGGGCTGTAGATCATAATTAAATTCAGTGTGAACCAGGACTGTCTTTAAAAGATCCCCAAATAGACATGAGAACTGGCCAGATGTGCTCAAAACCAACTGAGGCCCCTCAGCCATTGCCCTCTTTTGCACGACAAGATGAGAGAGAGAAAAAGAGAGAAAGAGAGAGAGAGAGAGAGAGAGAGAGAGAGAGAGAGAGAGAGAGAGACTTTAACGACACAGTACATCTCTTCCCTGTATTAAATCCAGTGGCCGGTTGTCTCTTTTTAAACAAGAAGTAGTAGTCATTCTATATGGATGAGCTGGCCAGCTGGAGACAAGGAATTTTAACGTTACCTGGCATGGCATCCATGGAAATATAGGGCTCAAATGGAATGGCTTTCTTCCTGTTACGTGTGATTAAGAAGACGCCTAAGAATGCGATGAGGCACCTGAGGAACAAAGACAGGAGAGGAATCAGGCCAGAGCGAGGCTGGGAGGGATACTTTCCAACCCAGGTAATAGGACAAAGGTAAAGCGAAGGTTGAGGGCTGTGGAGGGGGCTTTCTGCTAAGCAGCCTGGAGAAGCTGCTGGGCCTGAGATCAGCAGGGAGCAGATATGAGATGAATAATAACACCCCGTGCAGCCCCATACACCCTACACTCTACATGAGCCTTAATCAAAATAAATTAGACTCTCCTGGGGAAAACTCTCATGGTTTTCCACTTCCAATTAGCCTGTATCTCAGAACCTTGCCTTTAAGAATGTCTTTTTTTTTTTAAATTGGAAAAGTTCTTTATGGCCTAAATTCAATCAATACAGGAGTAGAGAAAGTAAAAATTGGAAATTTCCCGTACTTCCCCAGTCCTACGCCCCCTCTTTTTTTTTTTCTTTTCTCTAAGGCTTAGATAAACAAGCACACTTTCTAAAAACTGAGGTAGAATGTTCATGCAGTAAAATGCATAAACCCTAACTATAGAGTGCCATGGATTTTCCCTGTGTATACACGTGTGCAATCATCACCAGGTCAACAGAGAAGACATTTCATCCCCTGTGCCCATCCCAATTCGTGCAACCCGTCCCCAGAGGAAACCCATGCTTCTGACTTCTTTCACCACAGATTCAATTTGCCGGTTCCTGAACTTCTTGTAAGTTAAATCGTAGCATGGATGACTCTTTTCTGTCTGGTTTCTTTCACCCGACAAATGTTTTTCAGATTTATCCACTTTATTGTGTATATTAGTAGTGCATTATTTTTAACTGGTGCATTGAATCCATTGTCTGAATATACTACCATTTGCTTTCCTCTCTCCTGCTGACAGACATTTGTGCTATACATCCAATTTGCGTGTATTCTAAGTAAAGCTACTATAAACATCCGTGCACAAGTCATTTTGTCAATATACGTACTCATTTCCTTTGGGTATATATCTAGAGGTGGAGTTGCTGGGTCTTAGTGTCGACATAAAAAAAGAGTAACTTTTCCCATCTAAAGTATCTAGACGTGATTCTATAGACTGGCCTCGATTTTTCAAAATGGCAAAATGGTACTTATTATACAGATATACTATAATTTATTTAACCTGTGTTTTACTTTTGGGCATTGAGGTTGCTTCCAATTATTTGCTTACACGATTAATTTTAAAATTAATAAATAGCCTTATACACATGTCTCTGTGTCCCGTTTCAATTATTGTTCCAAGATAAATGATAGGAAATGAAATGCATCCAAGAGGATGCTTATTTAAAACATTTCAATTATTTTTCCAAGATAAATGAAATGCATCCAAGAGGATGCTTATTTAAAACTTTTATGGCCAAATTGTCTTCTCGCATTAAAGAACTTCTCACAGTAAGGCAGAGTGTGGTCTCATTCTCTTGCCAACAGGGAATATTATCAATTCTGTTAGTTTTTGCAAAATGATGGTATCTCCTGTAGGTTCAAAATGCATTTCTTTGTTCAGAGGTGAGGCTGAGAGCCCTTTCATGTGTTAAAAGGTGATTTTTAGAAATGACGAGGAGATTAAAGAACAAGGAGAAGAAAGGGGAAGGCGATAAAGCCTTTTGGGGAGTCAAGCGCTCACCTCTGGGGACGAAATGCCCAATCCCAGCTGCTCCGCTGACTCTGAAGGATGGCCTGAGAAGCTGAAGCAGTAATGCGGGGTAAGAGGCAAACGGCCAGGAATTCTACACCCACTGCTCTGGGGCCAGACAGAGGGTCGGAACTCACCCCAGTGCAAACATGCAGATGTGCAGTGCGTCCTCCCCTAGGAAATCCAGGTAAAATATTGCGCCTGCAGCAAATAACAGAAAACACAATGAGCGATTTTCAAATCACCTACTTGCCTGTCTGTCTGGGACGGAGCTAAGCTCTCTTCCCTGCAGGAAACCAAAAGTGATCAAAAAACACTATGGCTTCCCACAAAAGCCATTTTGGGGCATAGGTTGTCTTCTTTCTCCCTCTTCTAGGCCCCTCTTATTTCCATTTTTTTTTCTCAACTTTTTATGTTGAGATAGTAAATAGTATCGAGTTCCCATGTACCCAGCCTCCTCCCAATGAAACAATACTGTGTACTAAACTACAGCCCATATTTACCAGTTTTTACACACCCTTTTCCCTATATTTCTTAATATGGATAAACAAGGCTTTGTGTTTAAGCTGTCAGAGTTTTCTAACCTAATGTGGCCAGCAGATGTCAAGCCTGCAGGTCCACTCCTGCGGCATGGGACTGACCTGGGTCTGCCACCCTCACCCAGCAGCCAGTACCAGTCTGGACTCATTTCACAACCATGAGCTTCATGCCGTATTCCTGGGCTCCTGATTCCCTGCCCGACTTCTTACTCAACTCTGGTGTCTGCTCTTCCTTTCAACCTTGGCTGGACCCAAGTTCTCGACCATGCCTTAATCTTCGCATCAGGTTAGCTTTCTGACTGCTCTGGGTCAATGCCCCACCTGATCCCTGGTACCGCTCACAGCACGGGCCCTGGTAGTGCATTCCTACCTCTTTGAGTGGGATTTGGGCATAATAATAATGATGATCACCAACTGAGTTGTTAGGTTGCAGATGCTTCCTATACCAACCATCTCCAAAAATTATGTAGAATTAATTTATGGTCACGTGGCCAATGGAGGCTGTGGAGCTAGCTGATGATGGCAAAAATTGTTCAAGAACTTTTTGAACTTTCACACGCACTACAAAGTGGGGGACATTTGGATTATATATATTTCAATCCTAGGAGGTTACGTGTTATTACTACCGTTTTACAAATGTGGAACTTAGGCTCAGAGAGGTGAAGTGATTTTCCCAGAGCCACATAGATTTGCGTCTGTGCTGGGATGCAAACCCAGGTCTCCCTGAATCCTGTACTTTCTCTGTGGGCAGACAAGTCAGTGGAATTGGCCTTGTGATCGAGATGGAGCCTCCTCCCTCCACACTGGGGTACAGTTCCTACTGCTAAGGTAGAAGACAGAAATCTAGCGATTGGCCACCCCTACCTGCTGTGATGGCAACAGTTGTGGATAGAATGTAGCCCACACTGGCAATCAAAGACGAGTCGTACATCTGTGAGGCTTGACTTAAAAAGCTGCAATACAAAAGCACTCTGGTGAGTAGGCTGTGGGGATGTCGTCAAGGCTGAGGTGACAGCTGAGGACTACCAATAGAGCTGGTTTGAAATGTGAAGACAACTCATGAAGGAACAGTCCTTGGTTTTATAAAGATGCCATCCTCGTGTATCTCTAGATCTAGGGTCCATGCTTTGCTCCCATTCTTCTCATAGACACATAACCTGAGGCCCATTCCCATTCCCCAAGCAGGCCATGCCTTCCTGTTCTCACAACTATGACCACATGGTTCTCATCACCAGAAATGCCCTTCTCCTCACTGCTGCGTCCCCTGCATATCCACCCCACTAAAAAGAGCCATTTCGGGTCGCTTAAACACTTCGAGAAATTCTTACATCATTTATCACATTCTGCCTATTGTTACAGTATTTTTTTAAAAAGAAATTTTCTTGTTAATTAAAAAACAATATGATCACTGCAATAAATACAGGAAAAAGAGAAAATTGGAGTCCTTTGTAATCTCTCCATCTAGGATAAACACTGCCATCATTTTGGAATATATCCTTTGTCCTTTCTCTGCATAGTGTTTTAGTTACTGTGTAAGTGCTTACACCATAACATACTTCTCACTCAACTGTAATCGTCGGTTGATCAGGCTGCCCCCCACCAGGGCTGTGAGTGCCTTGAGGACAGATACTGTTTCTTCCTTGCCTGTGTGTGGGAAGCCCATCATGAGCCCCAGGAGGCAGGCAGGGCATCTGATTCGTCTTTGTGACCCCTGAGTGGTTGGCACAGAGCTTTGCAGGGGCTCAGTGGTGATGACGGGAATTGTTGTAGGACTAAGAACAGTAATAATCGACATTGGCATAGTAATAATGATCATAAAAGATGATGCTATTTACCCAACGTTATCCTGGGAACCGTCCTAAAAGCTTTATGTGATTCTCTCAGGAAGGGACTGTTATTCTCATTTACCGCTGAGGAATCTGCCTCTTAGAGGAGCTGAGGGGAGGTGGCAGAGCAGAGAGAGGGGTGTGGGCCAGGGAGCCGGATGCCTGCATTCAAATCTCAGCTCCACCACTTCCTGGCCTTTTAACCTCACTTGCTACGGTTCTTCATGTGCAAAATGAGGATAGTATCACCTGCCTGAAGGGGTGTTGTGAGGATGAAATGAATTCAAATTCATGTGAAAGTAAAGAGAATGGAGCCAGCTTACACTGGGCACCCAGTCAGCAGTGGTCACTCCTATGATCCCTTGTGGCCACGCTGGTGGACAGTGAGCCCAGGCTGCTGGAGTCTGGGCCTGACCTGTCCTGGGTGGATCAGCCTCACTCACTGCACTGAAACCTGCCCAGTCCACCCTCCTGTCCCCAGGCAGGCTTGTCCCATTCCCTTCCAGGCCCACTACTGGACATTAGGTCTCAGACGGGAACACGGCCCAGGCCTGCCCTCAGAACTGCTGCTTTTGACTTAAGAGAAATGATTACCCAACTCTTTGACTTGAGCAGATTTGGGGAGATTTCTCGAGGACAACCTTTTGTTTTCCGCCTTGCAGATAAATAGGTAGGTGTGTCAAAGGATGGCCCAGCTTCTCCTGAAGTCCCTGAAACGGATGCCTGCCTTGGAGCAGATGGAAGGTCGAGGCCGCCTCCGATCACGCACCTCTCACATTTTGAGGCAGAAGGTCAAACGCAACCACCCCAGGCTCGCCTTTCAAGGAGCAGAGCCCTTCCATGTGACAACTCAGCAAATTAGCAGCCCTCTCTCTCACGGTGAGTGCCAGACCCTGGCGGTAGGCTGCATCTGAACATCCTGCCTCCCTATGGCTTCGAAAACGAATGTAATCGGGCCCATAAAATGGAAGAGCTGCGGTGTCGAGGCCCAGCAGAAGAACCGTAACTCACGCGGCTTGATAGATGGCGGTTGCCACCATGCACACGAACATCACGTAGAAGATGGGGTAGTCCAGCTGCAGGTTCCCCTGGATGGACAAGACGAGCATCCCTGCCACCGCCTTCACTGTCACCACTGTCATGGAGCCTGCAGAAGGTACACAGGGCAAGTGGGGGCCTCAGGGACATGGAGAGAGTCAGACCCCGCAAGGCAGTTTATCGCCCCAAAGGGCTTTGTCAGAAAAGATGGAGGGAATACTGGCATGACCAGGCCAGCGAGTCGCATGGCGAGAAGGCACCATCTGTGCCAGACCTTGTCCTTCTCCCATGAGCCGCCTGCCATCTGTGCTGCTACACCACAGAAGGGAGGAGAGTAAAACCTCAACAGCCATCTCCAAACGTCACTTCTAGACCCTGGCGAGAAGAGACAACGAACGAGTTCAGGTCCCTGGACCCCAGGGCAGCAGCACTGTCCCTGCGACACCACGGGAGGTCAGAACAGTCTTCGAATGAATAAATGAACTTCTTTGGGTATCATTCTCACGGCAATCACAGAAAAAGCGTGTGGTGTAGAAAGACCTTTTTTTTTTTCTTAAGTGCTCTCTCAATTGTATTTTTAAAGATACGTCTTTAAATGAAATCCTACCATTTGCTCTGACGTGGATGGACCTAGAGGTTTTTACGCTGAGTGAAATAAGTCAGATAGAGAAAGATAAATACCATATGATTTCATTTATGTGCAGAATCTAAGGAACAAAAAGGACAAACTAATCAAAAACAGACTCACAAATACAGGGGACAATTTGGTGATGGACAGAGGGGCGGGGGGTTGGGGGGCTGAGAGAGTGGGGTGAAGGGTTAAAGAAGTACCAATTAGCAGTTGACAATTGGGCACGAGGAAAGGGAGCATGGCATAGGGAATGCAGTTAGCATTAATACGATGGTTAAGTGGAGGGCCAGGAGACGGAGGGACCATTTGGGGGAAGGGGGGGTCATTTTATGAACAATATAGATGACTAACCTATGTACTATATACTTTATATATATATGGTGAAACCAATTTAAATAAATAAATTTATTGAAAAAAATACTTCTTTAGACAGAGGTCTCTAAATGCTCTGGAATCCTACCCCTATCCATATGCACTTTTTCGATATGGGTGTTTATGCATTTTAGAATTACAGTCATGTAACACTGTGCTTATATGGTGGGTACCTTATAAAACCTGTGCAGGAAATATCATTTAAAAGGTGGAGATCGAAATAAATATAAGTTCTAATATTTTCTTCCCACACACCTGGTGGACCATCTGTTCAGTTCACCATGGAGACCACTGCTTTACCTAGTGGTACAGAAAAGAGTCCCAACTTTCAACTGTCAAGTTCCCTCATCAAAGCTTAAAAGGAGTTTAAAGGAACCACCCCCAACTCCGGTACAAATGAAGCCCCTTATTGCAGCTGAAATGCTCTGCTTTTCTGTTTTTCTCAGCTTAGCTCATTGTGCCTTCTCCCGCCAACAGCCCATCACACACAGCGACTTCTGGATCCCTCAGCTGCACAGACTGCAGCTTTTAAACATCAGCAGCCAGTTAGGACAGGCACTTTCATCAGGCTGTCTTTATTGGTGAGGAGACAGGAAAGTGGCCAGTGTGCCTCAGAACCTTCTGGCCTTCCTACGCACCAGGAGAGAACGTTTTGGGACTGTGACCTTCCAATCCACTTCGAGAACAAAGTCACCAGGGAATGGACCACTGACACTCGCGACAACATGGATGAACCTCTATGACATGCTCAGTGAAAGAAGCCGGTCACAAAAACCCACATATAATTTATATAATACGTCCCGAAAGGCAAATCCATAGAGATGGAAAGTAGATTAGCGGTTGGCCAGGGGCTGGGAGCGGGATGGAATGGGGAGTAACCGCTAATGGGCAGAGGGTTTCCTTTCTGGGTGACAAAAAAGTTCTGAAATTTGATAATTTGAAGATGGTGGCACACCTTTGTGAATATACTAAACATCACTGAATTGTGTACTTTAAACAGGTAGACTTTATGGTATGTAAATTATGTCTCAATAAAATTGTTTTTAGAAAAACCAAAAGAATCCATGCTGTCCTAAGGTGACATCTCTCTGTGTGCTTGATGGCCTGCTGCTGGAGTAGGGCTCGCTGTGGGAGGGACGGAAGGGAAACGCCACGCATGGGGCGCTAGTGCCCATCTGCTTTCATTCCCCTCTCCCTGAGATTTGGGTGTTCTCTCACGCCCATTTTTAGAGGACAGTGCGGCTTAAACAGGGAGCTTGACTAGGAGGCAGCAGTAGGGTTTCGCCCACCTACTGTTCCTTCCCCAGGAAGAACAGGTATTTCTCACAGCTCTGTTTAGTAATCAAATGCTATGCAAGCTTAGAGCCTTCCCCTATTCTGATTTAGGATTGCACCCATCCCTCTAAAAGAAAAGAAAAAAGAAAAGAAAAAAGAGAGCAAAATCAATTCTTGCCTTTGAACCCAGAATGACTTTCTAGCCTCCGACTGGGTTTACATGTACCCTAAGGACTCCGTTGTTGGAGCTTTGTCCATCTCTGACTTCTCTGAAATAAACTCAGCCCTCCTCTCCCTTCCTCTGCCTTCTTTGCTACAATTGTCATCGACCCAATGGGTTTTACCTACGTATTTGTCCACTTGGTTACTGTGGTTTCCTCCCTTTAGGATGGAGACTCCCCGAGGGCAGAGCTTTGTCCTGTGCACCGCTGTAGCCAGTTACCGGCATTGTTCCTGGCACTTAGGAGACTTGGTATTTGAGCAAGAACGCTGAGTGCAGCCAGCAGCATGATGGAACTGACGGGAGCTGCCACCAGCCCGCAGGGACCTTCTGCTGCTACTGGCCGATGGCAAAACTCAGTCACACAGACCCCCACTCACCGAGTAAAGCCACCAAGAGAAGGATCACGATGATGTTGTTGGCGTTCTTCTCCTTGTAGAAGTACAGCAGCAAGCAGAACAGAATGATCTCCACGAGCTAGGAAAGCAGCAAGGCAGGGTGTCAGTGGGGGCCACAGACACAGGCAAGACCTGGAGACCCCGATGGGCTGGGCCGGAGGTTATGCGGCTGACTTCACCATGCACAGACCCTTGGAGTTGAAAGGGAATTGAAACACCCAGCATTCCCCGAACTACTGACTGATATCCTGTGGACGAGGAGGGAGCGCTGAGGGAACCTCTCTAATCCCTGGACAACACTGAGAAGGAGTTCGCCTCACGGCAGAGGTTCGAGGGTGAGGTGCTGGCCTCGTAACCACCCTGTCTTGGACGGCCAAGATTCAGGAGGCTGAGATGGTCTCTTCTCACTTCACTGCTTCCTGGGTAACCCCATTAAAACTGGGGGTCAAGGAGGGAGACGTCTGTTCACAGAGAAGAGCTGTTTGGTGAAGCATCTAAGTATACGTGCCCCTTACCCCCTAACCAAGCCTCCCATGCGTGCGGCCTAGAAGAGTAGAAAGAAGAGGATGTCTGGAGTCAGGGAGGCCCAGGTTTGAACCTGGGTCTGCTTCTTAACTAGTCGTGTGACCTTAGGTCAGTCACTTTAACGTCTCTAAACCTCAGTTACCTTCTCTGTGAAATAGGGATAATTCTTACCTTATAGGGCCATAATCACAGCTTACACTTAATGAACTTGACAATAAGCCAGGCACTATTCTTAGCATTTTATCTATACTTAACTCCTTAAAGCAGCACAATAATTCTATGAAGTAGGTACTAACATAATCTCAAGGTAGTAAATGGCAGAGGCAGGATCTGAACCTGGACAGTCTGGCTCCAGAGCCAACGTGCTTTTCCATTAAGCTACACTGTCTGAAGACAGGGGGCCTCATGCCTGGTGTTTAGAAGGTGCTCAATCAGTAGAATCTTATGATTAGACAACAGCAAATCTGAAGTTTTAGAAGTTCCTCCACTTTGAATCAACAACTTGCCCTTTCTACTCCTTCAAGGCCCAGACATTTGGCAATACTTTCCCAAGTAGTAAAGCCAGCCCCAGCACCCAGCGAAACTAAAGCAGAAAATGTCGACAATGGCTCAGCTCCCTATGCCTACCCCAACCTCCTACCAAAGTTTATTATTATAAAAACCAATGTAGAAACATTAATGGGCATTTTGAAAAGAAAATTTTAGAAAATTCCTCCTAATTGGAGACCATAAAACACAGCTGTTTTCATTTTCCTGTGTCTTCCTGTCTTTGTCACAGTGAATACATATTTTATCTCCCTGTCATCAAAGTGGATGCACGATTTTGTATTGGGCCGTTTTTAGTTACCGTAAACAATTTTCACGTTTTACAAAGTTGTCATAATTATCCCTAATGGCTGCAGAATACTCCATCAAGCAGATGGAGAGTTACTTAACATTTCCAAACATCTTGCGTGCGTTGACCGGAGCCCAATTTTTTGGCCATTCTTCATGGTGCTTAAATGAAGGCTGGAATAGCACTTGGTGTCCTATGGCAAGATGGCGGTGTATATTTTGGTGCCTCCTGGTAGACCCTGAGTTCCATGAGCATATCTCATTTATTTTTTATATCCACAGTGACTGGCACATAGCAGACCCTCAAAAATATTTATCGAATTTGATTTGGTCTCACAGTCACAATTAAGGAAGACAAACTGAATTGGTCACTGAGCATCTGCCAAAGTGCTGGGTGGTTTCCACACTACCTTGTGTCTCTACCAAGAACCATGCCAGGTCCTGTGACTCCTGCCAGCTTACAGAGGAGGCAGAGCTTCTGGTTAAGTGACTTGGTCAAGGTCACGCAGCATGTAAGGGCGCCCAGGACTCCTGAAAAGCTTTTCCTGAAGAGGTGGGTCTTTCACTCTGTCCAGCAGACATTTTTCCACACCCACCGGGTAGATACTGGGGTTAGTTGGCAGGAGGGAGAGGACACGGCCCAACCTTGGGGACATCTTTCTTCTGCCTTGTGGGCAATCTGAGGAAAAAGTACATTCTGGGGCCCCTAGAGCGGTCCCAGGCTGCTTGTGTCAGATGCAACACAGTGAACACCACTGTCATTAGGCCATGGTGAAGGAAGGTGACGTCAGGCCAGGTAGGTCTGGTCATCAAGTCCAGCTCTGCTCTCATGAGACTCAAAACAAGTGGGCTAACCTCCCAGAGCTCTGGTTTTCTCAACCAGAAAATGGAGAGAAAAAACATGTATTTTATAGGGTTGTTGAGAGAATCTGAGATGACACCTAATGAGTGTTTAGCACGGTGCCAGGCATGGAACAGGAACATACCAGTAGCTTTATCGACTACCTTGGATGTTTTCTTTGATTAGCTTATTTGCAGAACTAACACAGGCTGTCACTGGGGCAGAGGACCGAGCTCAGGCTGGGGGTTTAGGAGACAAAGTTTCCAGCGTCTCCCTCATTTCTATCAGTTTTTATCAGTCGTGTGATACTGGACAAGAAGAAAGAAATAACATTCTGTAATTGTTTAGAATTTTAACTTTTGTTCTTACTACAAACATTTTAAATGCTTACGTAGAAATTTTGGATGATACGTAAAGACGAAATAAAAACTCAGTCATAATTCCATCTCCCAAAGACAACTACTGATAAAATTTGTTTTCCATCTAGCCCTTTATGGATACATTATATGTACACACCTACAAATACCTCTAAAAAATGAAGTTACCATATGACATATGCTGTTTTAGACACTACTCAGGATGTAAATGAAAAAAAGCATTTCCCCACGAACTACGCATTCTCTACAAGCACAGTCTTCAGTGCTGTGAAATATGAAATATGTCACGATTCACACAAATCCCCTATCGCTGGGTATTTAGCTTTCTGGTTTCTAGGACTCACCACCTCAGGCGGAAGGACCAGAGGCTTCTCTTACCATGTACAAGAGAAAATGCCAGCTCACAAGGTGCCTGGTGATGTTCTCGCCTGTCATCTTCTCGTGGCTGTTGGGAGCAAATGTCACCAGCAAGTAGGTGCCCACGATGGCCAAACCGCAGCCGACAAAGGACAAGACGTAGCGCCCTGCAGGGAAGGGGAGGCTGTCACAGGGCTCAGCGCAGGTGCCAGCCCCAGGCCAGAATGTGCTACTGGGGCAACAAGGCTCACCTGTTATTGTTTGTATTTTTGTTTTTTTTTAAAAAGGTTATCTTCCTTAATGTGTTTTAAAAATAACATTTAATGTGAAAAAAATTTTAAAGAGGTGTAGCATGCATAAAAAAGTGCTTGATCAATTCTCACGAAGTGAGCACATCCATGGAACCAGCACCCAGATCAAGAAAGGGAATGTTAGCGGGACCCGCAAATCCCCATGTGTCCCCTTCCAGCCACTAGACCCCACCCCCAGGGTGACACGTTGACTTCTACCAGCATTGATATTTGCCTGGTTTTGTACTCTTTCTTTTTCATTCTTTTTTTTTCTCTTTTTTTCCGTGTGTGTGTGTGTGTTTCCATTTGTTTTCTTATTTTTTATTTCCATTTTTTTAGGTTTTATCTTTTTATTCTTTTTCTTTCTTTTCTTTTTCTCTTTTTTTTGGTTTCGTACTTTATATACATGAATTCATACAGTATGTTCTCTTGTGTCTGCGCTCATGCAGGATGATGTTTCTGAGATTCATTTGTATTGTGAGCTTCCCTCATTCTCACTGCTACATAGTAGTCAATTGTGTGAATATGACACAATTTATCCATTCTACTGCTGATGGGCATTTAAGTAGTGTCCAGTCTTGGGTTATAGGAAATAATGTTGCTATAAACTTCTCCTGTGGTGCCATTCGAAAAACGTAGCTATACATTTATGTTGGGTATAAAACTAGGCGTGGAATTCTTGGGTCATAGGCTATGTGGGTATTCAGTTTAGTAGTTACTGTCAAATTGTTTTCTAGAGTGGCTGTACCAATTTACATGTCCACCAGTAGAGTATGAGAGTAAAATTATGTATTTTTTCTTTCTCATTTTAGCCATTCAGATGTTGCACTGTGGTTTTAACATGAATTTTACAAGGAATACTTTAAAGCTAGAATCACTTTTATAGGCAAGATAAAAAAAAAAAGCAAATAAAACAAAACTTCCAAAGCAAACTTTCAGCACCTACCATGAACCTTTTAAAAACGACCTCATCCCTTCCCAACTGGCTGTTTAACCTACTCCCAAGGGACCTGTCTAAATACTATCGATATTCTACTCCATAGACCTGTCAGACAGAGCTGTTAGTGGCTCAGGAGGGCATGCTCCTGGGTAAATGACAAGAGTTTCCTGACTCTTCCCCGGGGTCCTGTGACAATCCAGTTAAACCCCATGGAATTGGCAAAGAGCCTCTTGAGGTCCAGCCCAGGCCCAGGCAAGCTGAAAAGAACTGAATTCTGACCGCAGGCCTCTGGATTTATCTGGGCTAGGACTAACTATACCTATGTCATTCCACTGTTTCCAGAAAATATGATACCACATTAAATGTCTCTTATTTTCATTCTAGGCCTTATAAGGTGCCCCAAAACCGGTTGTTCAATGAATGAATGAACCATGTCAACTCAACAGAGTAAGTTCTGTGCTAAGATAGTCTGTTGTCTTAACTTTTCTTCAGGTGGGGATTAAGTCTCACTCATTTCCATGCCTACAGTATCCAGCACAGATCTAGTACCGGGTGAATGATGAATTTAATGGAACTTTTGGCAGGCAATCATGTACGGCTGTGCTGGTTGCTCACTGCTCAAGGGCACCTAGCTGCAGGGGTGAGGAGGACCAAAATCTAGCCCATGCTCTGCTCACTAAGTCATGTGTCCACAGAACTGCAGAAGGGCCCTTCTTTTTCATTCATGTAGGTACTGCCAGACTAGCATGCCTCTTATTCTGGAACTACCTAGAGTGACCCTGGAAGGGACATAAAGCAGAACAAGCCCAAGGCCCCCAACCCCAAATCAGGACTACTGCAAATCACTATGAGTCTTTTGGTCTTCTTGGCATTATTTGTTTACTAAGTAGTAGTTCTGCTTTTTTTTTTTTTTTTTTCAGTGTTAAGACTCATTTCTTTTTTAGCCTCCTGGCCCCATCTTTCATTCTACACCAAAGATTCAGAACAGTGGTTCCCAAACCTGGCTGTGTTTCCGTAGCATCTTGGGAGCATCTTCTTCTTGACATTTTGTTTTAAAAACTTTTCAGACACACAGAAAAGTTAAAAGAGTTGTATAGTAAGCACCAAGAGTCCTACCACCTAGGTTCTAAATTAACATTATACTTGCTTTATCTCTGTCTGTTCTCTTCATCCTTCCATCCATTCATCAAGCTATCTTATTTATTTATTTTGTTTTACATTTCAAAGCAAGTTGCAGACAAATATACTTCACTCTGGGGAGCTTGATAAGAATGCAAATGTTCAGGCCCCAGCCCAGATTCAAAATCTCCGGGAACAGAGAGCCTGGGCTACCATCATGTCACTCCTTAACTCCTAAGCATGGTTTATAAGGCCCTATATCATCCACTCCTCCATGCCTCCTTGCCCTCATGTCCTCCTTCCCTCATGACCCTCCAGCTACAATGGCCTTACTGAAATGGACACACTAAGCTTATTCCTGTCTCAGGGCCTTTGCACCTGCTGTTCCCTCTACATGGAACCTCCACCCACAGATGTTGGCATGGTGTCTCTATATCAAATATCTTCTCTTCAGATAGTCTAACTCTAACCAGTCTAGGTAAAGTTTTCCTATGTTCCCAATGTCCCACCAAGAAGCATTCTATTTTCTCAGAGGCACTAAGATATAGAACCATTTTATTTAGTTGTTTACTCGTTTATTATATGCCGTCTTCCTCAACACACACACACATACTCAACTATAATCTCCATGAGAATAGGTACCACATCTGTCCTACTGTTATATCCCTGGCACCCACAACGGAGGGTGGCACTTAGTAGGTATCTTAGGGGAACACATCTTCTCCACTCCTCAGGTTTCCATGTAGAGGGAACTCCAATGGATTGACGACACTCTGCCTCATGCCCTATTGGCCCACATTTCTCAACTGAGTGGAGCTAATGTATCAAAAGAATTTATACACTGAGGCTTTGTTCTTTTTCTTTCCTTTCCTGTCCCAGACTATGTGAGACAGTAATTCTGGGTAAATGTTCCATTCTGTAAACCGAAATGTTTCCTTGGGAGACTGTTTGGGGGCGGGGGGGAGGCGGGGAGAGTTCACTTAGCTGCACACCTAAGCTGCATGCCCTAATTTAGCTTTTATTGATAATAAAGCATAACTTCTGATCTCCCTCTGTGTTTATTTCCCATTGTTTTAGAACTCAGGGAAATAGGGTGCCTTTTATTGGGCCTCCTAAAATCCCAACGATAGATGCTCAATAAATATTGATTGAATGAAATGATTGAAAGCCTATTTTAAAAAGTCTCACAGATAATTCTGACAGGTAGCCAGGTTTGGGAACCACTGATGAAAGACTGATGCGGGTGGAATATCAAACCACAGAGGAGAGCAGAGAACAGATGATCTCTAAATCGCGGTCAGCTGGTTTTACGATGAAAAATAGCACACGCGTAAAATTAAGAACAGTGGCTCACATCAGTGAACTTACTCAGAAAGTCTTTAGGTTTCCATTTTTCTTTGATGAATATGATTCCTATGATGGCGCTCGCTATTAAAAAAAGAAGCACAGGGAAAAGAGAATTGAGGCTGCCATCAGTCAAATGGAGTCCTTTGGCCCAGGCCCCTTGGGCTGGCTCATCTGCACTGAAGCCTGGAACTGCCTAACCTCTCACTCATACTCCCAAGAGCTCAGTCCCTTCTGGTTCCTCTGTTATTCCATCTCACAATGGGAGTCTTCTCTCTGAGCCTTCCTGAGGATTTTCGACAAGGCCAGGAGAATTGTGTGTTGAGTACTTGTGCGACAGGCAATTTACACGCGTTATTTCTGGCACATTCACTCTCGAAGGTGGGTGCTATTATTATTCCTACTTGAAAAATGGGGACACTGAGGCTAAGAGCGGTGAAGCACCCACTCAAGACCATGCAGCTGGTAAGTGAAGGCTAGACTTGAACCCAGGACTGTCAGAGCTGCTTGTTCCTTCCGCTGCAGTGCCTACCTGTGACATCTTCCCCTGCTTATTTTTAGTCCCTTCCAAGTTTGCAGATGTACTCACACTTCCTGCGACTGCCCTAAAGGATAGTGACTGCCTAAAGCTCTGAGAATTTTGAGGCCCTATCAAGGATGGAATGCTACGATCGATTAGTAATGTCTGCCTTGGCCACAGGAGGGATACTCAGTTGCCATGAATATTCCATCCCTGGTATAGAAGAGGCCCTCTTAGTTCCAGGCGGAATAAGACTCAAAATATGAATTTTTCCTTTGAGAGCAGGATAGAGCTTCCAGGCAGTATAGTGCTTGCCAGCAAGATGAAAGGAAACATTTCAAAGCAAGTTCATTGTCCTATGTGCAAAAACTATTGTTCAGTAATCTCCTAATATCTTCCAAGAAGAAAATAACGTTTTTCTAATTCTATTTCATTTGGTGACCTCATGGACATGAAAGCTCTTTTGCCTTTTAGCTGGTTCAAATGTTATGAAACGCTGGTTCAGTGATTACAGAAATCACAGAAAAATGGCAGATGAGAAGTTAACGATGTTTTAAAAATGGTACCAGTTGATGTAAGAGGATCTGAGAATAAGCGGAAAAACTTAGAGCCATACAGACCCGAGGTCTATAAAAGCTGAGGTTACCTCGACAGAGTTAGGATGAATAGATTAAAGTTTATCTTCCTTCTGCAGCAGATATAAGAAATAATTCCGATAAACTTTCTGAATCTTGAACAGATTCTGGAGATAGATGGCCTCGTTCATATCCCAGCCCTCCTCTCTAGCTGTGTGACTTGGGGAAAATAAGTTCTCCGCTCTGTGCCTCAGTCTCCTCAGGTGCAAAATGGGAATAATAACAGTGTCTCCCCCAAAAAGACTACTGGGAAGATTAAAAGAATTAATATCTGTAAAGTGCTTAGAGCAGGGCCTGGTGCATAGGAAGCCTTTTGTCTATTTTTGTATTCCTGTTATCATCAAAGCAAAAGCTGGTTTGTTTAATGAATATTTTTGATCCTGGTGGTGAAAACTTGTGGTCACACAAGCAGGTAAGTCCCCGGGGAGGGATGTGGGAGACCTCGGTCTTACCTATCACGGAGACTGCGCTGAGGGGCACGATCAGCGAAAGCGGGGCGAAGGCGTAGGAGGCAAACACGCCGAGCTCACCCAGCAGCATCAGGAATAGGCCCAGCCACCATGTCTTGGTCTTGAAATAGGCTCGGGGGTCCTTGGAGCCTGCCAGGCGGATGTGGCAGTACTTCTAGAAATCCGAGAAAGGATGTGATTTGCCCAGATGTTTGGGGGAAAAGACGCTACGATGCATGTATCCTAAATCAACCTCCTTCTCTTATTTGGGAAGATCTGTCAGGTGTTTTTGGGGTCCGTACTCAGAGAAGAGTAAAGCAGTAGCGATCTAAATACTAGATAATCATTCTCAGAGCGTAGTTCTCAAACTGGCTGGGAAGCCTTAAAAATTCCCTGGGAAGCTTTGAAAAAATATACATGCCTAGGCCTCATCCTCAGAGGGTAGGTGGGAGGCCTGAAAATATGCATTTTTAATGCATGTCACAGGCAGTGTGCAGTCTGGGTGGGAGCCATGATCTAAGGACCCCACTTTACAGCATGGCCTCAGGTTGACCTTTGCCCTCTAACAGCAATGCCCGAGTCGGGGTACTCACTCGACCCAAGGCTGCTTTCGGGGAAGATCATGGTGGGAGCTACAGAGCAGCAGATACAGATGCAGAGATGCTGCTCTGTAGAAGGAAGAGCATGAGCCAGACAAGTAGCTAAGAGACCATGCAGCCTCAGAAACACACCCACATGTGTGCGCCTGGGAGCTGAGATGTACCAGGTACACATGTGCATTTATGTGCCTGCTCCAGGGAGCAGTTCATTGCAGCTAGAAGCTGGGTCCCACTGGGGGAGAGAAGGTGGCCACTGTGCTATGGGATTATTCTGTTCGCAGGTGTCAAGTCTTAGTCTGGGTTTCCCAGAAGCAGTCCCTGAGACAAGGCCTTAGGAGCAAAGAGTTGATTTGGGAGGAGATTCCAGGAAGCACGAGTAAGGGAGTGGGAAAGTGAGGCCGGGAAGGGAGAAGAACCAATGGGGAGTGTATTAACGGGTGAGTTAGTGCCTTGGGAATTTGGGGCTCGGTCCCACTGGGGACCCTCTGAGAAACCCTATGAACTCACCTTAGAACCAAATGGGCCAAGTGGATCTGGGGCAGGGCAGCCAGAGACTTATAAGTAATGGAGAGGGG